CTCTGACATGTTTGAGCCCATTACTGCCGTCACTCTGTCAGTCCGTCTCACTTAAAGTCTTCCGCTTTCATTGACGTTCTACCTTTTCAAGCATGATGTCTGTTTCCAAGGAACAACTTCTCCTAACAACGTGTCCAAGCATGTGGGATGAAGTTTCACTAGCCTTGCCTCTCAGAAGCACTCTTGGCTACACTTTTTCCAAGCCATATCTTGGCTATGTTTAAAAAAAATAATAATCTAATGTTGTCAGCTGGATGCAAGGTCGTGTTACAGAGGGGACTTGCTTCATGAGCCTCATCTTTATGGAAGCAGATCACCAGCCTTTATTCTGAGGCGCTAATGGATGGGCTCACCAAGTTGTGCCAAGAAATCTGGAGAACAACCACTTGGCCAACTGACTGGAAGAGACTGATATTTGTTCCTATCCCAAAGAAAGATGACCCAACAGAATGTGGAAACTACAGAACAATCTCACTGATTTCACATGCAAGCAAGATTTTACTGAAGATTATCCAAAAACGACAGCACATCAACAGAGAACTACCAGAAATCCAGGTTGGGTTTAGAAGAGGTCGTGGTACTAGAGATATTGTAGCTGATGTCAGATGGATCTTGGCTGAAAGCAGGGAATACCAGAGGAATGTCTATCTGTGTTTCATTGACTATGCAAAGGCATTTGACTGTGTAGATCATAACAAACTGTGGCTGACTCTGAGAAGAATGAGAATCCCAGAACACTTGATCGTTCTAATGCGAAACCTATACTTGGACCAGGAGGCAGTCGTCAGAACAGAGCAAGGGAACACTGCATGGTTCAAAATTGGGAAAGGCATATGCCAGGGATGCATCCTATCTCCATACCTTTTCAACCTATATACAGAACAGATTATCCGGGAGGCTGGGCTTTATGAGGAGAAATGTGGGGTCAAGATTGGTGGACGATTTATCAACAATCTGCGTTATGCAGATGACACAACCCTGCTTGCTGAAACTGAAGAGGACCTGAAGCGCCAGCTGCAGAGGGTCAAGGACTGCAGCCTACAATATGGATTGAGGCTCAATGTCAGGAAGACAAAGATTCTCACCACTGGACCTATTGGCAGCATCAGGATGGATGGTGAAGAGATTGAGATTGTACACAGCTTTAGTTTGCTTGGCTCCACAGTCAACAGTCTTGGCACCAACAGCCAGGAAATTAAAAGGTGCTTGCCATGGGAAAGTCTGCTGTTAGGGACCTCTCCAAAGTACTCAAGAGCAATGGTGTCTCTCTGGAGACTAAGGTGCCTCTGATACAGGCCATGGTCTTTGCAATCACTTGTTATGCATCAGAGTGTTGGACAATGACCAAGGAAGATAAAAGGAGAATTGATGCCTTTGAGCTGTGGTACTGGAGAAGAGTATTGAGAATACCATGGACTGCTAGGAAAACAAACAGATTTGTCCTGGAGAGGGTTAAACCGGGTGGCTCCTTGGAGGCAAGGATTCTGAGGCTCCGTCTAACATACTTTGGACATGTGAGAAGAGACTGGTCCTTAGAGAGGGACATCATGCTTGGGAGGGTGGGGGGACAGCGCAGGAGGGGAAGACCCTCTATGAGGAGGATTGATTCAGTGACTGTGATAATCGGGATGGGAGTGTCAGAGACGGTGCGATTGGCACAGGTAGTGGAGTTTAGGGCTGTTGTACATAGGGTCGCTATGAGTCTCGCAAGCGACTCGACAGCACATAACAACAACAACAACAATGGGTAGGTTTGAACTACTAACCATTATACTAGTAACTGAGAGCAAACTAGTTCTGCTACCCAGTGACCTTGTTAGGTGGCGACTAGGAATAATATATAATAGTATATAATTGTGTATGTGGTTGCTGGTCTGTTTCTACTGGATGTGCCCTCCTTGAAAATTCTCAAGCATTCGGGAATGCCTCTGAGTTATGAAAACAGCTGGTAACCACCCCCTGTGTTTCCTTCCAGGTTATATGTCTCCACATCCGTCTCCGCTGGGAGCCCCAGAGCATGTATCCAGCCCCATGTCTGGCGGAGGCCCAACGCCTCCGCAGATGCCACCCAGCCAGTCGGGGACCCTCATCCCAGGTGACCCGCAGGCCATGAGCCAGCCCAGCAGAGGCCCCTCGCCTTTCAGCCCTGTCCAGCTCCACCAGCTCCGCGCTCAGATCCTGGCATACAAGATGCTGGCCCGTGGCCAGCCCCTGCCAGAGACACTGCAGCTCGCTGTCCAGGGGAAAAGGACATTGCCCGGCATGCAGCAGCAGCCGCCGCCGCAGCCGCAGCCGCAGCCCCCGCCGCAGCCGCAGGCCCAGCAGCCAGCTCTGGTCAACTACAACAGAGTTTCCGGTAGGTTGATTGTGCGACCAGAGAGTGGATGTCCTGCTGAAAGGCCGCGGACTGTGGGGCCGGGGCCGGGTCAGCCGGGTTTCCTGGCTTGCTCTCGTGCCACCCTCACTCCGTCTCCTGCGTCTTTGCGCCAAAGTCATGGGTTCAGGGTGTCCTCCTGACATAGAGAGCAGTGTCCCCAGCCTTTGAAACACCCACGAGCTGGGAGCCTCAATCCGGGCCCTCTGCCCCCAGTTTTGCATTGTCTTTCAGGAACGTCTCCAGGAAACCCATCCCCAAGCCCAGGCTCCCAGCCCCTGTCTCCAGTGTGTTCCATCTCTAAAACTCGCTCCTCCAACCATCCCGCCAGAGCTCTTTTCTACTGATTTATTTGTTTCTTTCTGCTTTGACTGGGAAAAACATTTGGGTCAGCTTACAGAAGTCGTATTATACCTGTAGAAAAAATGGAAGCTGGAAGTTAGAAGCTGGGAGAAGGTAGAGAGAAGTAGGGAAATAGATACCAAGAGGGTCAGGAATGTGAGTTAGGGGGCTTCACAAATGACCAGAGTGTCTGCAAATAAGTTGTCGTGGAGTCTGTTTGACTCATGGCCTTGTTGGCAGAGCTGAGGTGGGCTCCCTACGTGGGGTTTCAAGGGCAGAGGTACTGTAGAGATAGGTTGTCAAGCCTTTCTTCTGAGGTATCTCTAAGAGCAGCATCAACCTTTTAGTCATCAGCCCAACACATGAACGGTGCGGACCTCCGGCTCTATCAGCCATTAACTGTGCACCCCACTCAGGAACGCCAGGAAGTCAGCCTGGAACGCGCACAGGCCAGGCACCAGGTTCTCACCCTCCCAAAGGTTTGTTACTATTTTCTCAGCAGACACACATCTTTCAATACGTACATTATATTTTCCAAGTGGGGTTATTTAATGGGAGGCAAGGACGCATGAGACCCCAAACCCCCAGTTCCGATTCGTGGTGACACCGTCAGGTCCCAGGGCTGTCAGTCTTTATGGGAGGACACTGTCTTTCTGCCACAGAGTGACTGGACTCAAAGCATGGACTTCTGGTCATCAGCCCAGCTCATTGCTCGCCATGTCTCCAAGGCTCCTTGAAGCAGGGTGCGGGTCTCAGAAGTATCTGCTTGTAATAGACACAGGTGCCACACGGCCACCTCACTTCAGTGCCCCAGGATAAGAGAGGGAACGAGACACCATGTAGGGAGTGGACGGGACCTGGGCATGCTGTGGGGCTGCCGTGATCCCATGATGCTCTCAGGGGTCCACAGGCATCGGGTTGCTAGCCTGTGACCCCTCTTCACCCTCGGGAGGCAAAGAGCTGGACAAGCAGAGAATCAGTGGGTCAACTTGAATAGGAGGCAGAAATAGTGCCTTCTGGACACTGGCCTCCGCTGAAAACAGTTCCTGCTGTCTGGTCAATCCTGGGCACATGACCCGGGCACACCTTCGAGGCTGTGGGACTCTTTCCTGCCTCGGCCTCCGTAGGTGCTGTCGAGTCGATTACAGCTCCGGTGGACCCCACGTCACAGAGTAGGGCTGCCCGCAGGGTTTTCTGGGAAGGAGCCCTGGTGGCACAGTGAGTAAAGTGCTGGGCTGCTTACCGAGTGAGTCAGTGGTTCAAGCCCACCGACCTCCCCTTACACGAGCGATGTGGTGGTCTGCTTGTGTGGGGACAGCTCGGAAGGCCTTTGGGCAGGTCTACTGTGTGTTGTACGGTGACTGGAGTCGGGGTGACTCCATGGCGGTGGGGTTGGTTGGTTTTGTTTTTTTTTTAGTGAGTGCCTCAAGAGTTCATCTGCTACCCAGTAGGTTGGTGGTTTGAATCCACCGCTCTCTCCATGGAAGGAAGATGTCTTTTGAGAAGATTGTTGTTCTGGCCACTGAGTTGGAATAGATTTTTAATTGAGTCAGATATTTTGTTCAGTGTCTGTTAATTGTATAGCATCGAGTCAGAACCGACCGTAGCGGTTTTTCAGAGACGGTAAATCGCAGAGACTGCATATCTTTTTGCTTTTGAGCAGCTGGTAGATTTGAACCACTTGGCACCACTCACGCACGAGGCCATCATTGCTCCCTCTGTAAAGATTACAGCCTTGGAAACCCTACGGGGGCAGCTCTAACCAGCCCTGAAGGGCTCTGTCCTGTCCTGTAGGGCTCTGTCCTGTCCGGTAAGATTCTGTACTGTCCTGTAGGG